TACAGGGAAAACCCTGACCTCCAGTCTGTCCTTGGGGGCACAAGAAATGTTTTACAGCAACAAACCTTCTGATACTATCACCCACACTGTTTTATTTGCATTAATCTGTAGGAATTTGATTACCAGATGTTACTGTCGAACACAGAGTAACAATGAACAGGGCCGGCTCTAGGTTTTTGGCCGCCCCAAGCAAAAAAATTTTTGGCTGCCCCCAACCCCAGCCCTGGGTTCTCTCTTCCCCCCTCCCACCCGCACCCCCTGGCACCCCAGCCCTGGGCTCTCTCTTCCCCCCACCCGCACTCCCTCCCGCCCCAGCCCTGGGCTCCCCCCCACCAGTGATGACTCTGCCCACTCCGCCCTCACCTCCAGCTGGTCCAGCGCTGGCAGGGTCGGGGTAAGCAGCAGGGCTCCCAGGCCGCGCCTCAGCCCAGGGTCCCTCCATCCAGGGCTCCCGCTTCCAGGAGGGCAGAGCTGGAGGACCGCCTTGGCAGAGGGCTGAGGAGCCGGGGCAGGGTAGCCCCAGAGGCAGCGGAGCCCCGGAGAGCGGGACGCAGGCCCCGCACGGCAGCGCCCTGCCCTCTATGGCCCCGCTGCTGCTTCTGGCCACCCTGCCACAGTCCCTGGGTGGCTTGGGCCGCTTCGCCCAGCCCCAGCTGCAGCGCTGGGGGGCGGCTGCCCTGCGGCACCTACAGGCGGCTCCGTGTGCCCCGTGGGGTGTCCCCCAGCCTGAGTGTCCCCCGCTCGAAGCCTGCCCGGCCCAGCCACAAGGTGTGGGCGCTGTTCCCCCGCGGAGCGAACCGCAGCGGCTACAGGGCGCCCCCCCATGCATGACACGCTGATGCTGCCAGGGCTGGCTGTAGGCTTTTGCCACCGGAAGCAAAAAAAAAAATGGCCAGAATGCTGCCCTTGAAAATGTGCTGCCCCAAGCACGTGCTTGGTTTGCTGGTCCCTAGAGCCGGCCCTGCTCACAATCATCCACCAGCATTCCGGTCACACCCCAAGTGTCTATGAATTGCCACGGCCCTGGTCCAGCAGCTCTGCCCCAGAAGCCTGTCTGCAAACACCAGCCACACCCTGTCCTCTGCCAGCCCTGGTTAGCACTTGCAGGGTGACCTCATCACACTCCCAGCCCTGGATCTTCCTCCAAAACTTGTGTTCTTCACTGACCAGCTCTCTCCAGGACAGTTCAGATATTATAGGTCCATTGGGTCTATAAGGGTCAATGTACAGCAGTTTTATAACTTCCTTGGAGTTACCAAACAGTTCTGTTTAAACACAACACTGGATTCGTTTATTTAACTACAAAGAGGTAGGTGTTAAGAGAGAAGTAGAAGGCATTAAAATCAATAATGTTTATAAGAGAAATGAAGATAAAACATTGTGTAGTAATTTAACAAACTTGATTTGGTTCAAGGTGACAGTCTAACCAAATGTTTCCAGCAACAGAGCGAACCAAATTCTCAGCTCAGAACCCCTCCAAAGTCCAAAGGCTGGTTCCTTTGTTTTCTCAGGTGACAGAACCAGCGAGAGTGATAGAGCTAGATAGTGAAAGAATCCCTGGTGTGTTTTAGACCCTCCATTTTATAGGCCAGTCACCCTTTGAAATGGATTTTCAGGAAGGTTACCCCTAGATAAATGTCCTTCCCACTGTGAGGACGGAGACAGGGAGATTTGGTGTGAAAGAGGCTCCATCTTGTTTGCTAAAATGCCATTCGATCTGTTCTGCCCTCCCACCCCTTCGCTGCCAAACAATGGCCTGAGTTCAGGTCAGACTCAGCTAACCCTGATCCCTTTCCCCGACTCTGCCACCATCGCTGACTGAGCCTGAACAGGGAGGGCAGGGCCGCTCATTAGTCATTGTCAGACAGCCTCTCACTGAGTGTCTCTCCCCATCTCCATCCCAGCTGCATTCCCTTTCTCATATTTCTGCTCCATTTCCACCGAGTGTTTGGTTCCATTCACAGCCAAGTTAGTGGTGTAATTCCAATGTCAGACACAAGGGAACTTTCACCTTCTCTGCGTGTGTTCAGGCTCTTATTCAGGAGACAGCCTGCCCCTCCCTAAGAAATTTATCTATCCCTCCCCCCCATTGCTGTAATACTTGGCTGGCCCAGAGTCTATAATATATTTATCTTTACAACACCCCTAAGAGATGGGGAACGGGCCCGGCTGCTGTTACTTCCTTTGTACAGCTGGGGAACAGAGATCTCCATTGTCCAATGGGAAGTCTCTGATGGAGCTGGGACCGGAACGACTAGAAGTGAGCCAATAACTGTGTTTTGGTTTAGTGACAGTTCCAGAAAACGAAGGAAAAAACAGAGTCAGGTTGAACTGAATTTGAACTTTTTTGGAATTTTCAGCAAACCACAGAAAGCAACAGAAAGTCCATTTGGGTTGAAAAAAAACATGTCATTCAGCCAACATATTTTGCTTCCAGGCTTTTTGAAAGGCTAGATTTGAAAGGCACTATAGGTACCCTACATTAAATGGACAGAGGAGAAAGAGGTGCTGCTTGACTTAAAAACCTTTGGTCTAGTGGTTAGGAGCTCACCTGCAACATGGGATACCCAGTTGCAAATCTCAAACCTGGAACAGGGATCTGAATGAAGACCTTCTCTCTCTCTGCTGAGTGTCCTGTCCAGCAAGGTACAGGCCACTCTGGATTGGTGTCTCTCAAACTGTCCCGTTAAAGCTGTCCCACTTTGTGTCAATAGTAAATATTTAATGGTCTTGAGATTTGAACCTGGGTCTCCAACATCCCGGATAAGTGTCATAACCACTGGGCTACAAGTTGAAAGAGAGAGTGCTACTTCTCTTACCTTCTCCACCCATTTCACGAACAGCCCCTTTGTGAATTAACTCCGCCTCCCCTCAAATGTTTTGGGCTGAAAATTATAGGCAAATTGATGTCCAAGAGTTTTGGGTCAACCAAAAGTGCATTTTTGGCAAATAAACTATGGAAATGATTTTTTTCACCCAATTCTAAGGCCAAATGTGAGAGTGATGCCCTAAGTACTTTCTCCTGCCTTCATGGCTTCCAACTGTTTCCTTTCTCTCTGTCCCTCATCTCCTCTTGCAGCGTAGCTCCCCCTGTTACTTTTGTCTTTCCATGTAGAAAAATCCTTCCTAACTAAACCACAAACCAATGCAATAATCACACTTAAAACCAAAAATGCCTGCCTCTTATGTGACATTTAGACACTGAGATTCTCTTTCCTCTGTGTGTTCGCTATATCTTGGGTTGGCTGAACTCATTTCACTTTTTTTTATCATTTCCACTGGTAATCTCGATGTTTATTTTTAAGCAATTTTATTCTT